GATAAATATATTTGTCCCAGTAGTAAAAATAAATATGTAAGTCCAAGATGCCCAAACAGCAGACAAGGACATGATTGTGACTAAGTTGCCTACTAATCCATATTGTAAGTCTATGGAATGCAATCCAATCCATATACTTATAAATAACCCTGACAAGTTCTTAGATAAATATGGTAATTTATTTGGGTTTCAAATATATGGGACGGGTTTAGACCCTGGGACAATATTGTTTATAAGGATAGAGACTGATACGGTAACCTCCCAAACTCATCAAGTATACCATTCCTTTTATGAAGAGATGAGCATAGATAATAAGATCCCCCATAATGCTAAAAAACTTGTTCATTGATTTAGCCGAGAGTATTGCCGGTAGTCTTAATGTTACCAACTGCTATGTGTGTGGAGGTACTAACATGGGAGACCAATGGCCTTGGGAAGCAAAGGAGGTAATGTCCGGTTCTGAGGCAGTTGACCAATTAATGTCTACACAAGCCGACTATCATATGAGTGTTAGAGGTAAATCTGAGTGGAGATTGAAGACCTCCATCATAGGTTATGTTTGCATAGCGAGGAAAGGAATCATGTATAATACTTCTGTAGGAGAATTAACTTGTCTAGGGCAAAAAGCTTATGATGAGGATACAAAGAATACAACTTGGTGGTCGGCTTCAAATGTCTCAGAACCATCTAACCCGTTTGCAAGATATGCCAATTTAAAGGACGTATGGTTTGATCTATCCATCACATCTAACTGGAGAGCCCCAGCGAATTTGTACTGAATCTGTGGTAGGGGCATGTGTGTTGGGTATGTTAAAACCATCCTTCTTCTTGTTGCCTATTGAAACAGGTGAGACTTTAGGTGTTAAAGTGTATGATGTGAATCATAGGAAGAAAAGGGGACCCATAGAGATAGGTGCCTGGGAAGATAATGAATGGCCTCCCCAGCGTATTATAGATTATTATGGCCAGCCACGTGGGCAGAGGATGGTACCTTTGGTTATAGAACCCCTATTTATATGCTCAACCGCATTATAAGGTTACAGGCGGTGGTTGAGATCATTACTAACGAGACATCACAAGCGCTCAATCTTCTAGCGAAGCATAATACCAGGATGAGGACAGCAGTTTACCAAAATAGATTAGCCTTGGATTATCTTTTGGCAGTAGAGGGAGGTGTATGTGGGAAGTTTAACCTGAGCAATTGCTGTCTTCAAATAGATGACGAAGGGCAAGCAATAGCTGAGCTTACTAGCCATATGGTTAAACTAGCGCATGTGCCTACTCAGGTATGGAAAGGGTACAATCCAAGTAGTTGGTTTGGTAGCTGGTATGAGTGGTTTGGAGGGCTTAAGGCAGTGGTAGGTGGAGTCCTACTGATTTTAATGTTGTGTCTACTCCTGCCGTGTCTTATACCCTTAGTAGTTAGGTCTGTGCAAAGCCTGATAGAAAATATAGCAGAGAGGAAGGCTGCTGCACAGATAATGGCAATTTATAAATATAAGGCTCTAGATCAGGGAGAACCAATGCAGGAAGACGAGTGTTGAAGATTCACATCGCAGGATAAGTCTGGTCTGGTTCAAAGGTAACTTGTGGTGTATGCAAACCAAGGTTAAGTGATGCCTCAAGTAATTGTAAAATATCAAGAGGCATCAAAGGGGGGAATGTGGTGGAATCTCGGTAAAAATAAATTTAGTAGGCCGAGATTACCACGCGGCATGTGTACGTGCATATGCTGACGTATCGATCAGTTGGTTGCACGAGGCAAGATACGATCAGTAGTGTACGGAGCATGTGCAAGAATACAGGATGTAGTATTCCCCTCCTCCATTGTGCTGGACAAGCCATGCGGTCAAGCAGGAAGTTAATTTTTATTTGTAATGATTGGTCAAGAGAATGTGCGGGTGGAGCTTAATATGGGAGGAGTTATGTGCCTATATAGGGAGCCTGCACTATTGTTCAAGGCTCAGAACTTGCTGTATTTTTGGTGACATTAGTCCCTCTGAGTCCCGATCGGTGATCCAATAAAGAATCTCTTCCTTCCTGAAGAAACCTGTGTCCATCCCTCTGTGCTTTGCTTCCGTCAGTTTCTCCGGTATCAGAAAGAATGTACTGATAATGGATGAACTCATTTTCTAATAATGTTTTATGTAATTTTATGTATTATGTACAATTTTTCTATATTTAAAATAAATAAAGACTAAATAAATGTAAAAAATAACCAAAAGCACTGCTTGCAGTAATCCCAAACCCGCCAGGTACACAATAGTCACATCTAAAGCTTCTCCTAGATTCACAAGGGCCTATTCGTGGGCACACACACAACGTTATAAACGCCTTTGAAGAAGCGAAGCATCAGCACCTTAGAGCCTGTAACCCTGCAGTCAGTGAACGCCTCAGCACCCCACACATACCCTGCCCGCCTAGCATTTTTCCTCTTATCAGCACAAGCCTGTCAACCAGAAGAACCTACTTTTAATAACAGTCTTACCCAGGGCTGTCTTTAACGCGTGGCAAAAGGGGCAGCTGCCCCGGGCCCAGTTTCTCCTGGAGGGCCCAAGGCAGCT